CCAGGTCCAACAGGGCATTTCCTCTGGTGGGACTGTGCACCTCCTGGGTTAAGTGGAGGTCCTGTATCTCGGCCAGGAACCTCCTGGAACGGTCCGACCTGGCTGACTGCTCCTCCCAGCAGATGTCCGGGTAATTTAGATCACCCATGACAACTACATCCCTTGCCTTAAGTGCCTCTGCAAGCTGGCCCGAAAACTCCCGGTCCAGCTCCTCCCCTTGGTTGGGGGGTCTGTAGTAGACCCCTACCATTAAATCCCTCTCCCCACGACCCCCTTGTATCTTGACCCAGAGCACTTCAGCTTGCCCCTCCTCTGACCCCATTTTGCTGGCAGAGGATGTGTATTGCTCTTCGACATAGAGCGCCACACCTCCTCCCTTCCTTCCTTCTCTATCCTTCCTGTAGAGCCGATAGCCCCTAATGCTAACTGCCCAGTCGTGGGATGAATCCCACCACGTTTCTGTAAGCCCTACTGTGCCTGGGTTTGAACGGGCTATTCTGAGGGCGAGTTCCTCCTGTTTGTTCCCCATACTCCGAGCATTGGTATACAGGCATTTAAGGCTTTGCATAGCTGCGCGTGCCACCCCCCGATTAGGAAGATTATCCGGACCCCTGTTTCTTACCTGGGCACTCCTTGCATGTGTCACCTGTCTTGCTTGGGTGGTGTCTCCACATCTTCCTGCGGCTCCTCCCCCGGCGAGGCTAGTTTAAAGCTCACTGTACGAGATCAGCCAACCTGGAAGAGAAGACACGCTTGCCTTTAGGAGACAGGTGAAGCCCATCCCTCTTGAGGTTGACCAGAAAGTTTGAAGAGAAATCAGGAATCTGCCTGCTGAATTGGTCTGGACAAAAGGGGCGTTGGAAGGGATTGGAGTCTGTCAGGGTGGCTGAGTGGAGGATTTGTGTGAGCTCCTATCTGCACATTCATACACCAAGACAACTGTGTCCATACTGCTACTTTATGGTTCTCCTGCCCTGTGTCTATCCCTACTTCCTTCCTTTGGTTTCTCTCTGCTGCCTCCTTCCTACCGGGTACTGCTCTCTCTTTTTCTTTGTGATCTCATCCCTTGTACATCTGTCCACTCTCCACTACCTTTCCCTCCTTGCCTCTTGCTTTTTCTTCCCCAAGTCTGTTTGTCAGCACAATGGATGGTGATGAGGGAAAGGAAACATCCAGCTTTTCTCTCCCCGCAGTCATTGGGCCTGTGTGTGAGGGCATGTGACTCTCCTTTTATTTCCATTCTTCCACACTGGGGACACAGCAGTTCTTGAAACAATCGCTGACTTGTAGGGACTAGTTGGGGACTACTCCTCTAAATCATACTAGCTGCAGGCCCAGACAGATGGAGCCGAGCCCTTTCCACCAAGGAATCTCTTAAGATGAGTTGGAAGAGCAGGCGAGCTGCTATAATTTCAGTAGTTCCTGGGGTTGCTTTCCTCTTCCATCCAACCATCATGATATAATCTTTCATCTTTCCTTATTAATTAGAGTAAGGGCATTTGATGCCCAAAACTTTGTCCAACAGTTCTCCCAACTACATAGTAAAACCAATAAAAGATACCACAAAAGCATCTTGGTCTCCGGGACATTTCCTGAATCATTGCAGCTACAACAGTACTCCAACTCTCCTTATTAAGACACCAAGTGAACTTCCTGACTTTTAACACAATTAACTGTCTCTTTGCATAAGTCACTTATGGCTTCCTCGCTTCTTCTTCCCCACACATTATATCTCCACTCTCACTTTCAGCCCTTCCTATTTGTGTATATATTTTACTCCCTCCCATCTACTATGTCTTAGGCTGTTCCTTTTGGGTAAGTTCTGGAAACTGGCTACAAACAGCTGCGCCGAGCTCTGGAGCCCTGCTATCACCTCTGTGCCAAGAGAGGGGCAGAGACCGGAGCTGCGCTGCCTCAGGCCCCTCCCCCACCGCCTGCTCTGACACGCGGGTGCACACATTGATACGGAGCCCGGCACAGCTGTTTGGAGCCTCCCAGCCCTGGCCCCGGGTAGCTGCTGCCAGATGTTACAAACCCTGCTGGGAGTAGCCCGGGCTCCATCGCTGGCAGCAGCTAACCAAAGCCAGGGCTGGCCATGGCGCGCTGAGCAAAATGGCCTCTCTTGCCATGCTTGGCACTTGTTGGGGGTTGCCGACCCCTGCCTTAGGCTGTTCCTTTTGGGTTAGCTCTGGAAACTTGGGAAATTGGACTTACACATGAAATCTGGGACATAGCAAATCTTTGTGACGTGAACTGTTCTGGTCCAAGTTTTAATTTCTTTGGCTGTGGTTCGGTGGAGCGGGAATGTCTCTCCGGGAAAGGGCCCCCAGAGTCTGAGAGCGGGGACGGTGGAGCAGGGTGGGATTGAAGACAGGCAGTGGACAGGGCAGAGGGAGATGAGCTGTATCCATGCTCTCCCCTTCACACCCCGGGGTCTCCCACCCCTGCCTGTGACCGGCAGGTGCAGGAGGGGAACGATCCCGTGTCCCAGCCCTGGCCCAGCCAGCGTGTTTCTGTCCCTGGCCCATCTCTTCCTGCCAGGGGGGAATCGGCCCTGCCCTTTGCTGAGGTCTCCGGGCTCCTTCCTGCTCGGGTCAATCCCGGCTTCACCTCCAGCTGCAACCAAAGCTGCCCCTGCCTTGATCACACCCTGTCCTTGGGCTGAGCGCTGCTCCTCACGCTCCTGTTATCTCCTTTCCTCGCAGAGGACGTGACTCTGGACCCAGACACGGCTCATCCCGAGCTCGTCCTGTCTGAGGATGGGAAACGTGTGAAACGGACAGTCACACGGCAGGATCTGCCCGACAATCTTGAGAGATTTGACACTTGGTGCTGTGTGCTGGGCCGTGAGGGATTCACCTCCGGGAGACACTGGTGGGAGGTGGAGGTGGAGGTGGGGGAGGGGGGATGGTGTGCCGTGGGGGTGGCCAGAGACTCTGTGAGGAGGAAGGGATGGATCAGATTTAGCCCCAAGAAGGGGGTCTGGGGTGTGCGGCGCTATTGGGGTAAGTACGAGGCTCTCACTGCCCCTCACCGCACCCCCCTGCCCCTGGACCGGGCGCCCAGCAGGGTGGGGATGTATCTGGACTGCACGTTGGGGCGGGTGTCGTTTCTCAATGCTGACACCGGGGCCCTGATCTTCACCTTCCCACCGGCCTCGTTCGCGGGGGGCAGGATCCGGCCCTGGTTCTGGGTGCAGGACGGTGAAATCAGGCTCAGGCGGCGCCAGTGAGAGGGAAAGGAAACGTGCCGGACAGGACCTGCTCGTTGTCCCCTCCGGCCTCAGTCGTGCTCATGTCTGTGACCCTGGAGGACTCCTCTCGCTGCAGACGATCAGCTGTGCCGTGTCCGTGGCCCTGGACGCGCAGGCTGGGTTTCTTCATCCCCCGACCACGGTGAGCAGGACGTGGCTGAGCTGCACAGTTGTCTCTGCCCGTGTGTCGTTTCCTACATGACCGAGGGGCCCTCGGAGGCCTGTGGGGTCCGGCACCCACGGGTGCGGCTGCGGGGGGTCGGGGGAGGGGCGGCGAAGAGGAGGCACCAAAACCCAGGCCCGGTTGTGTTGGGAAATGCAGTTGGTTGCGTCCAAATTCCACTGGGCCAGTTGTCAGCTCGTCCTTTCTGGTATTAAGTCAGATATTAGAAAATCAAGACAATGTGAAGTAAAGCTCGTGCTCACACTCCTTACAGGGGCTATGATCATAAGAAATATCAGTGTGATGTCTGCTCGGAGTTAGTGATATGTAAACTGTGGGGACAAAACTTCTGTGGCGGACTTACTGATACAGCCCAGCATACCTGGGCTCGGAGAATCTTTTTTTGTGATTGGTGGAGCGTGTCCACCAATCAGGTGGTGCTGGGAAGGGGCTTGCCCTGCCCCTGCTGGGGGGGCTGGGGGGAGAGAGGAGAACCCCAGACCTGGTTGTAGCCTGCTCTTTGCAGGTCCGACAACACATCCGGGCAGAGCCTCCAGAGTGAATAAAAGGAGCTGCGTCCTCAGCATGTGGCAGATGCATTGAGAGACAAATAGGACAGGCAAAGAAGAGCTGGTGTGAGCTGGCCAGCGGGCAGAACCAGTGTCCTGAAAAGCCCGAAGATGCCCCTTTGCGAGTGGGAGCAGTGAGTGGCTGTGTCCCCAGCTCCACCACAGGGAACGCAGCGTTGGTACACATCTCAGCGCACGAAACCCAGACCTTGGGAGCTGCTTGAGGCGGCTCAGGTCTGCAACCCCCCCCCCCAGCGTACAGCCAGGAGCTCGGGGCAGGTGGTGGTGCATGGAGCTAGACCCTGGGAACCGTTTGAGGTGGCTCGGGTCTGCAGCCACTGGCACAAGGCCAGCAGCTTGGTGCAGGCAACACCGCACAGAGGGTGCGGGAGCGGATTGAGCCCTGGCACCGCATGAGGCGGCCTGGGCTTCCAACCCCCAGCAGAAGGCAGAGCCCTCAGTGCATACGACGGTGCACAGGGCCACCTGTGGGTGTCAGCCCAAGGGGAGCCAGTGACCTGGGAGGCCTTGCCCGTAAGGAGCAACTTGGCCAAAGAGACGAGGACCACCCATCCAGGCCCTGGAGCCATGAGTTGTTGGGAAAGGGATTCCCACAGGGGAGGGGAGGAACCCCGGCCATGAGGCACTTTATCCTCGGGGAAGCTTGAGCTAACCAGTTGTTGAGGCACCTTGTATTTTGTGGGAGAGTGCCCCCTAGTCTGTGACACTGCACCTTATACTTTGTGGACACTTTAACTTTGAATATTAGTAGTTTAATAGAGTGTTAAGATTAAACTTCTTAAGGGACACTGCTGGGACCCCTTCCCTAATGCTTACATGTACTTACCTATACTTACCTGTGTATATTTGTATTTTGACTGTTGTTTAATTGTATTTATATGCGCTCACCCGTACTCACCTTACTTAACTGTTGGTTGTCTATTTTAGATCAACTGTCTATCAACACATTGCTTGGGGCTACCTGGAGGGGTGTAATCTTTCAGCCTTTATTTGTAGGACAGAATTATATGATAATTGTATATCTGTATGTGTATATGTGTGTGTGTGTGTTTATTAATAGCAATTCTCTTAATTTGTGCATATATTAATAAATCTGTGTATAGTTAAGTATCTCTTGTCCTGGCCTGACTCTCTAGGGAGTAGAGGGATCTGACCTGCATATTGCAGACCCTCTCACAGCACGCCTGCCTGCCACCCATCCCTTCTATCTGGAGAGGGGAGCACAGTACTCGGGTGCACCTGGGTTACACTTATATAAAGAATTAAATTGTCTATATACAGATTTAAAGTGACCCATGCAGGAAAGAGAAGTCATCGTCAGCAATCCCTTGATTCAAGGATGATCTCTGCCCTGACTCAATGGGTCTTGAGGTGACTTAAGAGTCCAGTCCTTGAGCCATCTGCAGAAGTTGCAGGTCTTTCCACAAGGGAAAGCAGGCTATAGGCTGTGATTCCTCTACATTTCCTTTCTCCGCTCTCTCATCTCTGCTTTGAGGGCAATACACTTTACCTTGAAACAAGCTTACATTGATTGAGTTTGTGGCACTACTGCAGCCAGCTGGTAGCCAGTTCCTCCAAGCTCGTCAGGTCAGCCTCCATTTTCTTGAGGTATGCTTTCAACATGTACTTGTAGCATTTCCTGTGGCTACCGTGAGATCTCAGGCCAAGCCTAAACTGGGACTAGGGCAGTTGTTTTGAGCATAGGTGGATTAACACATGGGCCTGCAGGGTCTGAGCACAGGGGCCTCTGCCAATCACAGCCTGTGGCAAAAGGCCACCTCTGTTTCTCCCCAAAAAACTCTGCTCTGTGACAATTTGGTTAGTACGAGCCCTGCAGAGGGTATACACCTTACCCTATCTCTTTAGGTAACCTGAGCTGGATACATTCCTGAGGGAGGGGGAAACCTGCTCCCTCTGCCTACGTGACTGGCATCACCTACCTGGGTGAGGGGCTTGGGCTCCCTGGTGGGCTAGAGACTGCCAATCTGCCCGGCAACTAGCGATGCATTTCAAATTGGTTGGCTGACAGGTGCTGGCCTGATTGGACCAAGTAAATGAGGTCATAAGTTAAAGACTGCCCAGGAAGAAGGGGCAGCAGCCATGAGGGATACTCAGGAACAAAGAAGAGCTGGACCATCTGAAACTTGGTCTCTTTCTCAAAACTCATGATCAAGGAACTGTGTTACCTCCAGAGGGAATCTCCACCTGCCTGTGGATGACACTTGTGAGTAAGCTACCTGAGATCTAACTAGATAACTAGATCTAACTAGTTTGCAGTAACTCAGATGTGTGATCAAAGGCTACTCCAGCCACTGTTTGCTCTATGGGATTTCTCTGATACTGCTCAACTCTGTACCCTATTCCAACCCTACTCCTTGTAACCAATAAAGTTCCCCTTTGTACCTAGCGTGGGAGACTTATTGGAAGTGGGTCTAGATTATGCCTTGGGGTCCCCTTGGTTCGGCTGACTAAGGGAGACCACTACCTGTGCTTCTGACTGAGGGAAGCACCCCAAGTTCTTGAAGTGAGTCAAGTACCCTTGAGGGCTACTAGGCCTGGGTTTCCCAGGGGGTGCAGTGCCAGAATCAAGGTCATCCCTGTGTGGTTGCAGCTCTACCCCCAGGCTAGCGGGTGTGCTCCAGGACGGAGGTTGGCCAGATGTGAGGCACCCCCAGGGAGGCACTCAGAGCTTGGAAGGTGGTCGGGCGCAGTGAGGTGGATGGCTCAGCACAGGAGCACCCCCTAGTGGCCCCCACACAGGCCCCCTGGTAAGAATCTCTAAAAAGCACTCACTCAGATGGGGTCACCTGCTTCCCACCCCAGAAGGCCATGTCCAGTGCCAGTGGAGAGGCAGGAGGAGCAAACAGCCTGCACCCAGCCACAGGGCAGCCCTGCGTGTGGGGATGGAGCCAGGACTCTTCCCATCGCAACTCCTGCTGGAGGGACATAGAGTCTGCTGACGAGTCGGGTCTCAAACGCTGCTGCACCCAAGCACCAGGGGAAGGGGCTGCTTCCCTGCTCCAACCCCACCAGCCCAGATATACCTCTGACCCCTCCTGGGGCCCAGAGCTCCTCCTGTTCCAGGCTCCTCTGGTCCATCCCTACACTGATTCGAAGCCCGAGCCACCGAGTGACCTGTGGAGGCCGTAGCTGTTGATTCCCATGGAGATGCAAGTACTTGCACCTCCCTACCCACAGCAGTGCCCCAGCCCCACCCCAGCCCTTACAGCACTCACCCTACTGGGCCCCATGCAAGATGAGTGAAGTTGGCAGTGGGGTGCCTGGCGCTGGGGACAATGGTCTCCTTTTGGCTGAATTGCATCTAGAGCTGGGTCAGGGCACAGAGAAGCTTTGAGGGGAAGGAAGAAGTTCTACCACCGGGGAGATGTGCTGGGAAACCCCCAGCCCCTGTGCCAGAACTGCCACGCTCTGCAGCTTCTGGCAGCACTTCTGGGAGCAGCCGCTCCTGAAGGGGAGGCTCTGGGCAATGTCCAAGCCCTGCCCCAGCCACAGGCATGGCCTGTGATGCTCAGCCTGTCCCAGTTGCTCAGGATTCTCCAAGAATGGTGGCTCCGACAAAAGCATTAGTGCTTGAGGGAAGGGCAGTGTGCGTGAGCCTGGAGTGGGAGGAAGAACCTGTCCCGTCCTGTCACACATGGGCTGCAAGGAAAGGCCCATGTGTGAGGGGATTAGTGATTTTCTGGCCCCAGGCACTCAGCAGGGAAGCGCTAGTTGAGGGAACCGGGAGGGAGCGGTGGTGGGTTTGGCAGGTAGGCAAAAGCAGCACCTCCCTGTACAAGAATGGAACCCAGTCTCCACATGACACGCAGGGACACTTAACACTATAATGACCAGGACAATGATGATAGATGCACTGCCAACCCCTGGCACATGGGGAAGGGAATCAGGTTCTCAAGAGCCAGCTGTTTCCAGGAACAGGACAAGGAAGCTAATTCTGGCTGCTGGGGGAGGTGTTGCAGCTGGGAAAAGGTGGGCAGGAATTTGGGGGTTGGCCAGAAGCACTTTCAGCCTGGATATCTGGTTCTCAATCTCCTTAGACTCCAGCCCCCTCCATAATGGTGCCATAACACGTGGGTAAAGAGAACAGGATTCAGCACCCCACAGGAGTTTGGCAGAGTGCCACCAGGGCAGAGCGGTCCTGAAAGGCTTTGTCTGCTGGGCCCCAAGGGGAAACGGACCTTTCTCCTGACACAGCTCAGCCTGTTTGGGCACAAAGGGATGCTCGGAAAAGCAAAGGGCCCCGGAACCGGCTCCATTGCAATCCCCGCTGCCCTCAGGACCCCTGGCACAGGCCCTGGCACCCTGAGCCCTTTCCCATGCACCCTTCCCAGCTACGGTGCCCCGCTTTGTGTGTGGGCCTCCCCTGTGTTATTTGTGTTATTATATATTTACTAGCCAATTGCCCATCAAAACTGACTGTGGGGAAGGGGGCAGCCGGAGATAGTGGCCTGCGTCTAGCCCCACTCCCCCTACCACCTTTGGGCCTCCCCCTCTTCCCTGCTCCCCCCTGCTGCTTCAGGGCTGGGGCTGGGCCACCTCCTGCCTCCATCTACTGGCCCTAGCCCCTGCCCGCTCCATCACCAACACCTGTAGAGCCAGGGGGCGCTGGCCTTGCTCCCCCACCCTTTCTGTTTTCATGGCCTGCAGGAAGCAGGGGGGGCAGGGCCAGTGCTGTGGCCCCACCCCACCCCCTCTGCCCACTCCATTGCCTCTGCCTGCAGGGTCAGGAGGCCGGAGCCAGCAGCACTGGCCTTGCCACAGAGGGGGTTGGGCCAGTGCCACTAGCCTGCCTTCTCCATCACCTGCCAGGGGCTTGGGGACATAGGCCAGGGACAGGCTCACTCCCTCCACCTGAGCCCCCACCACTTCGGGGCCAGGGCTGCTCCACCACGCCAACCCCAGGGGCCAGCAGGGACAGTCCCAGAGTCTGGCCCTGCATCCCCACTCCCCTTGTCCAGCCCTGCCCCTACCATTTGGTCCTAACCCTGTTCCCTCTCCCCCCCGTTGCTTTGGGCCTGACCCTATTCCCCCTGGCAGTTCAGGTTTGGGGCTGCTCCCCCCTCCCTCCCTTGCCACAGTGGCCCCAATGTTCTCCTGCACAAAGGGGGGGGGCTTTCTCCCCACTCTGCCACGGGGCTGGGCCTGGCCCTGCACCCTCCCCATAGCCACTGCAGGGCCTGGTGTGCCCCCCCATACCCTCCTTCT